TGCTGTTATTGTGTATCATCAAGTCAGAACTGACCCATAGCTGACCCACCAGAGGGTTTTCAGAGACAGTAAATCTCATGGGAGGAGGCTGTCCATCCTTCTCCCGCAGAGCAGCTGCTTGATTTGAACCAGAGAATGCAGTGCAGTTTCTTACCACTAGGCCACCAGATGTTTCTCTGTTTCAATTACAGATTAATTTTTTTCATTTCTAATATGGCAGTTGTGCTGTCAAATTCAAGATGGAAGGTTCAAATCCTCCAGGAGAAAGATGGGACATCTCTTCCCATGCAATTTACAGCCTTTGAAAATCCACTGAGGGTCAGCTATGAGTCAGTTCTGACTGGAGAGCAGTAAGGGAGTGAGGGAAGAATTGCTAGCAACATAACAACTGAAGTAGTATTACCATTGTTTCCATTGAGGATGAAAAACAGTTAACACAATAAAACTTACCTTAAAAATAAAATCTCATACTATGCTTCATTGAAAAACAAGGAACTCATGTAATATTCAAAATGGGTGACCCTGGAGGATATAAGCTGAGTGAAATATCTCAGTCACAGAAGGACAAATACTGCATAGTGCCACTGTTGTAGAATGAGACTGACATCAGGGTTGGGGTGAGACTGAGAAAAAATGGATAAATTATGTATACTGCATTGAAACAGATGAGGGAGAGAACAGTTTAAAAGCAATATATGATTGGGTATTACGGTTATGACAAGAGTCCAGAATGAAGGTTTCATAGTGGAGTGCACTGGGGCTGGAGAGGCGTTATTGTATACAAATAAAAGAATTTCAATTTTCAAAGAGAAGAGTGAACTGCGGGGGAGGGGTGGGCAGGGAGAAAAATCCAACAATGAATGAATGGAAATCCAAAATCTCCGAAAACGTTCATTAAAATTAATACATTTTTTTAAAAATAAAATCTCATAAAAATTTTAAAAAATAAAAAAATAAAATCTCAAAGAGTACTATTTTTGCTTATCTACATTCTACAAACAGTATTCACATACATAATGTATTTATATTAGACATATAATGCCTATATATTAGGCATTAAAAGATACAAAATCTAAATGTGACCTAAAATTTTTTCACCCCTTTGATCCATTCAAATTCTAAAGTTTCATGATGTGAAGATAAAAGCACAAAGATGAGAGTAAAATGAGTAACAACATCAAAATCCTACTTTAATAATGTTGAACAGTTTTGTGAAAATACATTTTGAGATGTTTGATCCTGCATGAAGATCTGCACAGGGTGGCTTACATGCATAGGATTCAAACTTTTACAAGGTCATTCATTAGAACTCACAAGTGTTAGCTTTCATTAGTTATTTCTATTTTGTGGGAGACCCTGTTCAAACAGTCAAATAAGAGAATGTAATTTTCATAAAAATGAGTGTTCGTATTATTTCTGTAGCCACCACCTTCTTAACTATATACAAACTAGGTTCTCCATGTGGTGCAAACGCCCTGTCATGGATGGGTTGCTAACTCTAAAGTTGGCGGTCTGAATCCACTCAACAGAGCCACTAACAAAAGGCCCGAGTTCCTGTGCTGTAAGACGAAAGTCAAGGACATTCATGGAACCATTGTTCTACTTCGTAAACATGTGGGGTTACATGAATCAGGGTATCAAGAGTGACTTGATGGCAACAGATGTGCCTTTTTAAACATAATGAGTATTGATGATGTAATCAGTGCCCAATTTAGAAACTCATTTAAACAAGTGATAAACCAGTTCTGTTGTTCAATTTTGTGATCATGTTCACCATATGTGCAAAGTTGCTACAAAAGAGTTAGTATGGCTTCACAGAAAAGTATAAGAAAACTTTATACTCTTAAGAGCGACAAGAAAATTTTAGAGTGATGAGTATATGCTTGTAGTCTCAGAGTCTTTATCAAAGAAGAAAATCATCTGGGGTTTTTCAAACTTAAAATATGCAAGCATGAAGGGCTGTTCATGCTTAGATTTGTAATCTGTGGGGCTGATGTGAAAACAGCTTAACAGCCCATCTCTCTGCCTTCCATGTCACCACCCTGGCACAGCTCCTTACCACCTTGAGCCTGAATTACAGCAACAGGTGTCTCAGTTTTCCCACAAGCCAAGTTTCTTACCACTGCTATCCATCTACGCTACACTGTGAGAATAGTTTCTCCATAAAACCACTTTTATAATGCTTTTACCTTGAGTTCAAATTCACTCAGGGTTTTGTATAACCAACCATACTGAGCTTGTACTCCTTTGATAGTTTTGAAGCCTTTGGTCAAAGCTCCCAACTTAAAATATCCAACCTGATTTTCTAATGTGCTCCTACATGCCTTTTCTTACCTTTCTACTTATCCAAATCAGAACCATTTTTCATGTCCTTCATTTTGACAAAATCTTATAAACTCCCCAAATCAGATCCCAGTGGTTTTGTTTTTCAAGTTTGAAGTCCTACTGTGCTCACCATCTAAGTGTGCTGTACCACTAAGCATGTTAGCAATTCTCTTTGTCTCTCATTGCTTGGGGCTTCTGTTTCATATGTGTTTACATTTCCTCTATAACTCAGGCCTTCCTAGAGGACGGTGGGCATGTCCTTGCATTCCTTTGAGCTTTTGTGAACATTCAGACCACAGTAAGTATTCCAAATGTACATTCTAGTCAGATGATAGTTCAAAGCAAGAACTGAAGGAGCTGGTTGCTTCTCAAAGGAATTGACAGGCAAAGGATAGCTCCTGATTTCCCTACCTTTATGAAATTTCTATTGCAACTTTGTAGTATTTCAACCTCTGGCTCTGGAATCCAGCCAGAGACCAAAGCTTTGAAACAGCATTCTTATAATAAATTTTATCTCCAAATTTACTTTCTGCATGACCATACTGAATTGGAAAAAAATGAATTTAATGTAGACTTGGATGTCAAAATCAGCAACATTAGACCCGTTCTGTTTAAAAACAGAATAGCTTCTTGTTAAACCGGGCTCTTGAAATAGAAATTAATCAACATTTTAAAGAAAATTTAGTCTTTTAGTTATGTTAGCCACATTTAAAGTATTCACATAGTATAAAATAGCTCTACATCACAGAAAATTCTATTACCTCAATAAAACTATTATTTATTTTAATTATAATTATTGGTATTATTTGCTAGAGGAGGGTTTTTCTCTAGGATCAGTATGATGAGCAGGCAAAGAAGAAGTCTATCTGTAATTTGAGAGATCATAGGCTCAAAGACTATTATCTTTTACAGGCTGTGAAAAATCCTTGCTGGACTTGCGTTGGGGAGCTCTGCTGGCAGATTCCGTAGGGAGCTGCTCTGCTAATCTAAAGGTAGTAACTCTCAGCAAGTTCAAACTCACCAGTGGCTCCTTGAGAGGAAGATGGGCAATCTCCTCTTAGGAGATTTACAGCCTTTGAAAGCCTGCTGGAAGGTCAGCTATGAGTCAGCTCCAACCTCATGGTGATGAGTTTGTGATGAGTTTTTGTTTCCTTTTTTTTAGGACTTGCTTTGCCGTCAACTCCAAATTCTTACTGCCATCTGGTCAACCCATCTCACAGTGACCACTACCGGACAGACCACAACTGTCCCATAGGGTTTCCCAAGCTGTAAATCTACAGTGGGGCAGATCCCTCATCTTTCTTCTGCAGGTCACTGGTATGTTCAAACTGCCAACCTTTTGATCAGCAGCCCAACTCTTAACTCAGTGTGAAACCAGTGTTAAAAAAAAACTAGAACAGTGTATTAGAGCTTTAACTCCTTTATTTAGCTAAAAAAGGTGATGTGTCTTTCCTGTGCCTTCACAAAATCTGAAGTTCCACAGGAAATACTATGTTGAGGCACAAACACATATTGCAAGTGAAATTGTGGCCATGGGCTGGGTGCAGAGAGTGTGGTGAAAGCTGGATGAACATGCAGAGTGGATCTGGCAGGGGGCTGTGACTGAGCAGGTCCAGAGCAGGCCACTGGAGGAGAAGGGGCTACTCAAATTGTGCAGGCTCTTCATAAAGAGTCCTGGATGCTGTGTAAAATGGGACTATTTTGGTTTGGTGCTACTGAGCTTAATTTGACTCGTTCTGACTTTCATATGACAAACTAGAATTGCCATGTGGTGGTGCAAGTGCACTGTGTGTTGGGCTGCTAACTGAAAAGAGGCTGTCTAAGTTCACCAGCCAGCAGCTCCTTGCGAAAAGGATGAGGTAGCCTGCTTCTGTTAAGCTTCATAGCCTTGGGGAACCCATGGAAGGTCTCTGTCAGGAGGAATGGGCTTGAGGGCAGTCGTTGTGTTGGAACTCATTGGGTGTTACTGTTGCTGAGTGAGAACCAACTCATAGCTGACCCTACAGTGGGTTTTAAGAGGTTATAAATCACACATAAGGAAGACTGTTCACCCATGAAGTAGTTTGCTGCAGGATTCAAACTATGTGCCTTTGGGTTGGCAGCACAACTCCTTATCTAAAAGTTATGAAATTTGAATTTGGAGTGGTTTCCTGACTGATAAATGTGGCCAGCAAATATGAGAAATATAGAGGATTGGAAGACGCAGCATGAGGACGAAACCAACATAGTGGAACACTTCCATGGAGACAAACTCTGTCCACCAGAATTATACCTCCCAAATAAAATTGACAATTGCTTGTTTTCATGCTGTGTAAACCAACAGGGAAGTAAGTTTAACAGCAGCACCTATTCAGCACTGAGGTGCTCTTACCTGTATGGCAGTCTCCCCCTGGATGGGCAGTGGCTTTCCATAAAAAGCTTTTTTGGAAGCAGCCAGCCCATTCAGTGTCAACACAGCTCACAGTACTTTTGGTTACAGGTTTGAGTGATTTTGATTTGGGCTTGACAAACACAATGTGGAAAATTGCTTGAGGATTTTTTTTTAGGTTTAATGAGAACATTTTTCCATAGCTTAAAGCACAGTGCCCATTTAGAATTTAAATCTCTACACTGGATTAGATTCTCCCCTCCCCACATCATCCCTTATTCCCCACCACCCATTTGTAGGTCCTTACCACAGAAATGGAGTTAGAGAGCAGGGTTCCCTCCTGTCCCAGCATGTTGGAGACGGTGATTTCAGGTAGGTCTATGTTTTGTGGGTGAAATGGGAGCAGGCCATTGTGGTTCATGGGGTGGCACAGAGAGTGGTAGCCAGACTCAACTTCGTTCAGGTGCACCAGCGAGTGGTCAGGGAGGGAGGGAGGAGTGATGGGCGGGATGTTGAAGTCTTCACTCTCCAGGCTTGGCCCAGCGTAGGACTGCAGGAAAAAAGAGAAGAGAGATTATTGCAAATTGCCATCACCACGTTCATCACCATGGTCGAACACAGGTGAGCCCTGTGGAGAGTATTAACAGCAGCATTCTGAATCTGGCAAAGGCATTTCAAACACTCAAGAGTATCCTGCCCTATTATGCACAAAAGCAAATTGCCTCAAAGGCATATCCACTTCTGGTGTAAAACATGCTTCTATTATGCAGTTTTCTTTTTTCCAAGAAGCTGAACTCAAACTGATTTCAAAGGTCCCATTAAAATTTTCCAGAGTTTTAATCTAGCTGAATACCTTTTTCATGGGAATTGTGGGGAAAGAAGGCAATTTATAAAATGAATGTTTGATCAAACATGTTTCATTGGGCTCCCCCACTGTTCCGATCACCAGCTGCAATAAAATGAATTCCACCAGCACGGGGCAGCTGCTTTTGAAAAGCTACACACTCATCTTTGACAAAAGAAAATAATAAAGAAGTTGAGCATGCTGCTATATAGTTGCATTGGAAGTGTGAGACATGAGAAAAAAGGTCATGAAAAGCTATTACTGTCCTCAAGTTTATGTCATGAAAAGAAATCAAAATTGTATTCTTGATTTCTGATTATTTATGTATAATTATTTTAATAAATGTTATACATTTAGATAACAGAAATGGCAAAGGAGGTTGAGTTT